GAGAGAGAGAGAGAGAGAGAGAGAGAGAGAGAGAGAGAGAGAGAGACTGACGTTGGGTGCCTTCCTCAGTTGCTATACACCTTATATTTTTGAGACAGGTCTCTCACTGACCTGACACCCAGCAACTGAGTTGACTGGCTGTCCAGGGAACTTCTGGTCTGCCTATCTCCTCCCACTCAGTGCTGGCGTTAAAGAAGGCACTTCTGCACCCAGCTCTTACCTGGGTGTTAAGAGAGCTGAACTCAGACACCCACACATGCACAGCAAGCACTTTACTAACTAAACTATCTCCCTGACCCTGAAAGAAGTTTTTTAAAATTTAAAAGTCAAACTTGTCAGGATTAAAATTAACTAGCTTAAAAAAAAAATCCCACAAAGTTTTAACAGCTGAAACTAGAAAATTTCTGTTTTGCCTAAGAAGTGGTTAGTTTTTCCTGTCTTTCCAATCTACTGTGAAATGAAGACACATGCATTACCGATTTCTACTAATTATATATTTCTATAAATGAAAAGTCAGGTCTTCAAGTCTATAGATTCTGATGAATGTCCTCAACAATAAAGAAATATTAAGAAATGTTTCTTTTTCTCTCTTTTCCTCTGTCCCCACAGCCAGCCATCCGCACCCCCGTTCCCTCTGTTCCCTCCTTCCTTTCCTTACATTATGGTTTCTGATAAAGCATTTGCTGGTAATTGTAGTGTGAGGATGGGTAGACAGAAAAAAAAATCTTTTCATAAAGAAAAATCAAAGGTAAACGCTACAGTTTTAAAAGAAATAACTAAAAGGCAGTTCTAATTCTGAGTTAAACATTTAAATGTTTTCCTTAAATACCAGGATTTTCGGGTTCAATTATAAGCATACTGACTGCTATATAGCAATAGTATAATTTAATACTGGGCCATGAGGGAGCTATTGACTAAAGGCCCTGAGTTTTCCTAAGTGCTCCTTATGGTTGAGAAGACCCTGGTCAGTTGTTTTTTAGAGAAGTAACAGCAGCAGGATTTCAAGAGGAAAAAACAAAGCAGGTTAGTACTGCCAGGGCATGGCCAGCCTGGAAAAAGAATGTCTGCTGTCATTCTACTTAGCATTTTGTAGGAAAGAATAATTATTGGAAACTCAATCTTCTTATCTTTAAGTCTAAAGAGATTGCCAAAGAGTTTTTATTGCTGTTGGACCTAAATTCAATAATCATTTCTGGAACTGCTCAGGTACATAAAACTATGGATTGCCACTTGCTGCTGACTTACAAAAACAGCATATATTGAACACTCATCTACTAAAACTATTGGAAAGTATCTGTTTTAAATAAAAACCTACAAAGATGAATTGCAGCATGATTCAGTCAGTGAATATACATTATTTAAGATGTAACAATTTCATTATAGTCTACACAAGTAGTTTTCAAAGTGCCTTATTATAACCAAGCATTCAATATATAAAACAGGAATAATACTTTTAATTTATTATTTATTTGTTTTTGGCTTTTTGAGACAGAGTCTTCCTGTAACCACAGCTGGCCTGGAACTTGCTATGTAAATCACGTTGACCTCTATCTCATAGAGATTTGCCTGCCTCTGCCTCCTGAGTGCTGGGATTAAAGGTGCAGACGACCATGCCTGGCTTGATTAATTTATTTTTAATTTTTATGTGTATGAATGTTTTGCCTGCATGATTGGAGGTGCATCCACGTGTGCAATGCCTGCTGAGACCAGGAAAGGGCACTGGAACTGGAATTATAGACAGTGATTAGCCACCATGTGGGTGCTGGGAACTGAAACCTGGTCTGCTGCAAGAGTAGCCAGTGCTCTTAACCACTGAGCCATCTCTCCAGCCTCCTTTAAGTAAGCACAAAATTTGCAAAGTAAATGATCAATTATCAACTTTGAGCCAGAATCTCACACTGTAGCCCAGGCTGGCCTGGAACTCACTATCCTCTTGCTTTGGCCTTGGGCACCAACATGCTTAGCCTTTTACTGTTAATTCTAAACTCAGAGTCTGATCAGTGATTTAGATTTAGAGTTGAATGATTCCACAGATACTCCATGTGTAGCAGACAAGACAGTACCACACCAAGATACAGAAACAGAAACAGCTTTTTAAATGCCTATAAACTGATTCATGGAACATAAAATTTAAGATCAGTAATAGAGGAACACAAGCCCCAATTGACTGTTTCAATGTTATGCTATTTTAACATTCACCTGAAAACAAAATAACATAAAAATGAATGGAAGGTGGATTTGGCTGAATGATCTGTGAGCGTGTAAGATGTAAACAAATCAACTTATTATTACTGATGAGATAATAAAAATATAAAGTCTGCCATGCAGTAGGACAAAAAAAGATTATAATTTGAAATTACCAGGAGTATCAAGGTCATTTTCTATATTAGTAAGTTGATCTCCACCTCCTACAACAAAGCCTTCAGGGATCTCCTTGTTAGTGTCTATCTCAATATTATCATTTTCATCTGGAAGAACATGTAGCAATATTGTTAGTATACTGTTTATAATTTACAGTCTTTGTCCTCAACTCTAAAGAAAAGCCAGTATTTCAATGACAGTTACTCAAATTGCGGTCTGACAAAGATAAGCAAGTTAAGAAATCAGTTTTAAGTCACTTTTTCACTATTGGATTAACATTCATATTTTACACTCTTATATCAGAGATGAATTATCACATCAAGGCAGATGAAGAGGTTTTGGCAGTTTGTCAACCGCTGTCTTTGAATCACTGTATTCATTAAAAATCACCATTTTAACCTATAATCTACTAGTAATCTCTAAGATAATATATATAGTTGATTTAGTGAAAAAAAGTGTGCATTTCATTTTTATCATTTATTAGACACAAATGTATACGGGAACCCTTTGGTTTCTCAAGTAATCACTAAGGCATTATGTAATGTGTGGCTCCATTATTTCAGTACCATCAGTTGAGAGCTCTTTTCCAGTCAACTATGCTTAGCACAGCTATTTGACTCATTTCCTGAGGATGAACATCTTCACTGTCCTGAAAAAGTCTCTAAATCATTTTGTAGCTCAGCAAATGAATTAACAAACGCTTCTATAGTGCTTAAAAAGTATTCAAACACTTTTCAGCATTGGTCAGTGCCAGAGACAATGAACTCTCAACAGTTTCAGGAGTTACAGCTACACTTTCTTGTTGTCAACCTGCTGATTGTTACTAACAAGACTAACCCAGAGCCAAAGTACAAAGCAACATTCGTTTTACTTAGGAAACTTCGAAGGTGTACTTTCATGCAACTTGCAAATACTGTGCTAGATGTTCAGGAGTTACCAATTAAAAAAAAATAAAGACATTTATTCTGCCCCGAATAAATATCTTGAAGTGATTATAATACCATGTTGGATTGGTGTTATGAGGTAAAAATAAGGTATAGAGCAATTCAAAAGATAAAAAGATTACTCTTTGCCAATGACACAGGGATTTCTTTCTTGGAAGAACTAACCTTTAAATTAGGTCTTGAGAAAAGTATAGAATTTCAAGAGGTACAATTGAGGGGAGAGTGTTCCACAAATGAAAGCATGAGGGGGTAGGTTCTGTTCAGAGAATGCTGTGAAGTCCCATTTGGTTCAAGCATACTTAAAGGGAAATAATAGAAGGTAAAGACTTGAAAGGCAAAACTGTGGAGCGCTTAGAAGGGTAGAACAAGAAGCTTACATTTTACTTGGCAGAAATGGAGAGGCGTTGGTGCACTAAACGATCAACACTGTGCTTTAGAAGACTAAGCAGTTTCAAGCCAAATGTCATGTTGTAACCCACTGTCATGTTGTAACCCACTGTGAAGTTTTTTATAAGTAGTAAAAAGCACTGGAACTGAGGGTTTTTATATACCAGAGAAGTTTCAATATTACTCTTACAATACTGTTCTTCATTATGTTTTCATATTCTTGTGTGAACGAAAAATGCAGTGTAAAGATCGTGTATGGGAGTATACTATTCATCTGATAGCACCCTTCCTACAAAAGTACTAAGATAGGTGTGCTAGAGAACAGAAAAGCTGGAGGTAGGAAATCCAGGTTGGAAAACATTATACCCTACAAGTAAGAAGTATGGAGATTCTAACTTAAAAGAGAGAGAACCGGATTTGAAATTGAGTGGATACTGGATTGTAGCAAAGGGAGTAAAGGGTGAGGCAAACACCACAATCAATCCTCACCCCGAGTGACTAGAATGATGGCTTTGCTCTGAAAAGAAATAGTTCAGCAGAGAAATGTGGTTGGCTATGGGTACTTTGAGGTTCTGGGGTAAGCAGAAAATTTTATTTCCTTTCCTTATGCACTTACACAGTGCCAAGTTCCTGTATCATGTTTAACAGCTGCCATTCATGTTACTTCCAGGTCAAATGAAATCTCCATCTCTATCATCACCTACCAATAACGGTAGATGGAGCAAATCAGTATTTCTCTATGCACTGCTAGCATTAGATATGATGATCACTATTTGAAAAGTCAAAAATAAAAAATGGGGCTGGAGAGATGGCTCACTGGTTAAGAGTACTTCTTGGTCTTCCAGAAGACCCCATTTTGGTGCCCAGCACCCACATGGCAGCTCAGAATTGCCTGTAATTCCAATTCCAGAAGAACCTTTTTCTGGTCTCTGAGGGTGCAGGGCATGCACATAGTATGTGCACAAATATGCAGGCAAAACATTCATACACATGAAATAACAACAACAACAACAACAAATCAATCTTTTTGGTTTTTTTTTTTTTTTTGAGACAGGGTCTTACTATATAGCATTGCTTGGCCTGGAACTTGATTCATAGACCAGGCTGGCCACAATCTCACAGAGATCTGCCCGCCTCTCTCTCCCAAGTGCTGGACTAAAGGTGAGAACCACCATGCCCAGCCCCAAATTTTTATTTCTAATGCAAAACTACTTTATCTAAAGCAGTGGATGGAGAGAATTAATGAACATCAGGGCAAAAATTAATTAAATAGAAATTTTAAAAACAACGAAAAGAATGAAACAGAGTTAGTTATTTGAAAAGATAAACAAGTGACAAAACTTTAGACAAATTAAACAAAAAAGGAAAGAGACGATCCAAATTAATAAAATTAGAAATACAAAAGGAGACATGATAACAAAGGGAATTCAGAAAATCACAAGGACATAGTGTAAAAATTTATATTACATTAAATTGGAAACTCTGAAACAGGTGAGTTTCTAGATGCAAATGATTTATGATGTACCAAAGTTAGATCAAGATGGAGCAAATTAATTAAATAAATCTGTAACAACCAATGAGAGAGACGCAGCAATTAAAAAATTTCCAACCCAAAAAAAGCAAGGATCTGATGGATTCAATGTAGAAATCTACTAGAACTTCTCTTTTTTTATATTTTATTTATTATTTTTATTTTATGTGTATGAGTGTATTCACTGCAATAGGAGGCAAAATGCCAGTTTAAATTCAAACAAACTTAGCCTAACTCAAATTAGAGTGATAAACTATGGAATAAATATATAAATTATAAGATAATACCAATGACATGAAGTGATGCATAATATCTTAAAGCAAGGTAGCCATTTTCCTTGCAAGTGTGTTTAAGGATCATTAACAAAAAGTTAACAGTTATTTGGTCAAAATAAAACCTTAATAAATCCCCAAAGCAGGAATTCAGGCCATATTCTCTGACCACAGCCTCCTACAACTAAACACAAAACCACCAGGCTCCATCCCTAAATATGTATACCTTGTTAAGCAAGAGGTAACACAATCAACCTGTAAGTTTGCTACACAGAATGGGATTTTTGAAGGGGGCCATTACAGGTATGTAAGTACAAAATGCTGCAGAAATTGAAATACACATTGCTGCATGCCAAAATATCACCTGATTCTCTCATAAGCCTACAAGGATGTCAAGCAGATAATCAGTAAAAGCTAGTCTGTCAGGCTGAACACAGGTATAATTCTGTCACTTACACAAGAACTGGGCTATTTCTGGTTGTAAGAGGCACAAATGTGCTGCTTCAATATGCTTTACACATGACCTAAAATATCTGCATGTACTTTCTATAAGCACCAAGTAGCTGAAGACACCTTACCACTAACAGTCATGTTTCCTTTTCTAATTGGGGCTGGATGCTGCTTGAGGAGATAAAAGTGAGCTTTTTCACATGGGTTCAAACACTGGGTCTGAGAGATGGTTATACTCAGTGCATTCCCCAGGCTGCATCTGGGGAATATACTGTGTCTTTACTCCCTACCCCTCCCTTCTTACCCTAGTAGTGTGCCCACCTTGTCTCACATCACTTCTCTTTCTTTCACATCACAACCGTAAAACTTCTTTTCTCAGACTTGGTGATTCCTACTAGTCATTTTTTCACCTGACTCACCAAGTTCACCAGGGTCAATACCACAGGAATGAGACTCTTGTGAATCAAAGTGAATCTTGAATTTGTTATGGTTAAAGGTCACTGCTTTTCAGGGGCAAATAACATTCTTCCAAATACAGTGGTTGGGACAGAGACTATACAGCTTGTAAGGTTAAAGTAATTACTCTGGTCCATTTTAAGAAGTTTGCTGAATTCTGACTTAGACAAGTGGCTGGCAATATTGGGTAGATGAATGCTGAATTTGGTTGGAAATGGTATGAATGGCTGAATTTCAGGAAAAGACTTTCACTCCTCTACCTTTTCCTAAAGGTTGCTAACTTCCAGGGTTGATAATAATAGCTTAGACCTGAGGTTAGTGCAGAGGACTGAAGTCAGGGAGGATAATGTCTCACCCATGCTCCTTTATAAATGCCGACCAAGACTCAGCACTGAGGACAGGGGATAGGTTACTCTATTTGTCTTAGGTCAACCTTACCCCTCTCTCTGTTTTAATTCTGTACTTCCATGTTTATTGTAGCAATATTCACAATAGCCAAGTTATGTGATCATAGTGGGTGCAAACAGCTAATGGAAATGCATCCTACATATACAAGTTATAAGAGAATAGTATACAGTTGTAAAAATGCTGAAATCCTGTCACTTTTACATGATGGATGGAAATGGGGTCTATATGTTAAGTGATTGATACTACTATTTCTTGTCCTTGATGTTTTTCCATACAGAATGGTGATTATCTGATGGAGAGAGGGAGGAGGGAAGGGAGAATAGGAAAACTGAATGGACAGAAAAAATTCTATTGTCTGATTGCACAGCATCAACCTTAGCTCTCAGAGTCAGTGCCATCTGATAATAAGGCTACTATCCACATCCAAGATGTGTCCTATGGGAGAAATGGACCTGGGAACAGGCTCCCGTGAGAACAGAGAGCCTCACAAGGCACCTGGTCAAACAGCTCCCTTTTCATTCTACCTTGCTTTTGCCAGGTTCGTTCGTCCATATTTCCTTTCCATCTCGATGGATCCAATTCTCTTTTTTTTTTTTTCTGTTTATTTATTTTGACTGCTAAATGATACAAAATTCAGATCTTTGTTTTCTCCCATTTTAGGAAGATCCCTAGTCCTTGGGTTGTAACACTGAGATGGTTTCTTGGTCTAGTCTAGTCATATATATATATAT